CACACACACACACACACACACACACACACACACACACACACACACACACACACACACACACTCTGCTTTCATCCTCTCACACATAAAAGAACCCAGACGAATATTTATTCTTTTCAAATATCAATAAATAGTACATCCAATAAATTATCCGCTTTTAATCACATTAATAAAAAAAACCGTTTATATTTTTTCTCATATTCAATCTATATGTTGACACAAATTTCTTATTACTTTGAATTTGATGCCATTTTATCCTGATTACTATTTACAATGTGAGCGATGACATATTTTACTGCTACTGGACGGTTGCCGTAGTGCCAGTAATCTCATGCTACATGGCACTTTTCACAATAAACACGAGGAACTGAGTTTTCCCTGATTTTTTTAAATGACAATGAAACATTCCTGCTGATTTATAAAGAGGTGACTTTATGTCAACTTTAACTTTAAAGCTAACGTTGAACGTCCATCAAATGAAAAGGAACAAAACGGTTGAATTAAGCCTTTGCGTAGTGACTGATGCAGAATATAGAGATTAACAAATAAATATATGACACAAAAGCAACACAACAGAGCACTGCCACCACTATCATTAACATGAATGATTCTGATCAGCAAACATGGCAGAAGGATAATTATAAAAAGCTGAGGTTCAAGAAGATGACAGCCACCAAACCTACAAGCTTTACCGGAGCATTTAGTCGTTACATCACAAAGTTGCGTTCTTTTCTGTTTTTCTTTTCTTTCATGTAAGAGCTGAAGATAATTTGCTGGCGTTGTTGCTCCTTTCAGCCAAAGCTCGCTGCTGCTGACAGCAGCTTGAAAAATTGTGCAGAAAAGTTTTTCTCACCCCTAATTTCATTATACTTTGCTTCCAAACAGCCAAATTATTTTAAATGAATACAATAATTATAATTAGTTTCAGGTCAAAGAACAAAACTATAAAAGCTATTGAATAGTACTAATCTTTTTAAGGACAATAAAAACTAGTGAAGTTGGGCACGACAATATATTCATATTCAAGGTCAAACATCCCCTGAAATTTAGTTGCGTGAACACTGTTTAGAATAACCTCGGATTTACACTACACGCGTCTCCGCTGCGCTGCACTGCGGTGCACAGGTCGCAGCTGTTCTTGGGGTCGACCGCTGCACGTATCGGCGTTTCGGTTAGACTGATGCTTAAAAAATCTGTATCGGCCTTCAAAAACCTGTATCGGTCGATCTCTAAGCTGTTCGTTTGTGTCTCAATTTATACAGCATCCGCTCCGGTCTGACAGTGTGGAGGAAGGAGATCGCACGATAAATCCAGTGATGTGGAAGTCAGAGCAAAAAATAATTAATTCTGTGAAACTCCAAACACAGCTGAAAACATAGATAAAAAGGCTTTTGATATCCATGGTTGAAACTGTCTCGCTGTCGGCTTTCTGAAACTTCTGATTTCAAAATAAAATCCACGTGTATCGAGTGTGTACACAAATGCTTCATGTTACGTTTTCGTCTGCTTCCCAAACAGAACAATACATTCTGACAGCATTTGTGTAGAAATATATCCGTATATTTATTAATATAGCTGCAATTTCGACATTAATCCGACAAATTATCCTGCCTAACAGTGTCTTATTTTGAAAATACGGATGTTGTGCTCGTTTCTTTTCCTGTTGGTGCGACGTAATCTTTAAAAATTGACTCCGGCACAGTTCCGATGTCCGGCAAAAATAGGATCTGTCCTAATTTTGTCGGATCGCTGTCCGCTCACCGCCGCCCTGCGCAGCCAGTGTAAACACTCTCAGTGATTATTATGGGTGTGTGTTTGCTGCGGAGGTCGGACGGGAGCGGAGCGGAGACGGAACGCATGTAGTGTAAATTAGGGGTAAGTGTATTTCAAAGAACCGTAATTTGGCATTAGTATATTTTTGATGCCAATGTGTTGTAAGATACAGACTTTGAACATTAGTATTTATAAAAAGATTAATTTTTATATTTAAAAGTTTTATTCCATCAGTACTTTCTGTAAATTCATTTTAAAAAATGGGAACAAATCGTCTCTTTATGACAGGCTTCTACGATCCATGTATTTAGCTGTACCAGTCACTAACTAGCTACCGAGCGGCTTTAGCTAGCTTACCAAGCTAAGCCAAGTGAGAGGGTCCCAGCTACAGACAGCGGAATGGGGCGGGGTCGGACGCCTGACCCCGCCCTCAACCCTAAAATTAACCACTCCCAATTTTAACACCACGCTCCTGACAAGCCATGACCACGCCCATTGGACATCAGACCCCACCTACTGTACGACCCCGCCCCAGTCCACGATCTGCAGCCGGGGGTACTTGAAACAAGTGGCTAACTATAGCCAGATACTAGCTAGCTAATAATGCCAGTTAAAGCAAAAGCAAATTGCTAGCTGTAGCTAGCTGATAGCTAACAAGTTAGCAACAAGTAAAGCATTATTTCTAGCTATGTTACTTACTAGCTAACAGCTTCTCAAGATTGTTTTCATTAATCCAAGCACAAGCAAGTTACTAGCTCAAGCTAGCTACTACCTAGCTAGCTAATAACATGCTATAGCTAAATCTAGATTTTAGCCAGCTAGTTACTAACTAGCTGCAGCAAATATCTTGTAGCTATTTTCTATTTCATCCTAAATATAAGTAAGTTATTATTAATCGCAGGTTACTAAAGAGATAGGTATTATTGTTTTTAAGATAGGTTTTATCAATGCAAGCTAAAGAAATTTACTAGTTTCTTTTTTTGTATTGAAATTATTATTATTGTTATTATTATTATTATTTTTTTTCTACCAGTATTTTATGTGAGGACATAATACAGGGTCATCCCTTGATGTCTAAAAAAGGCATAAAAGTCATGCCTTAGTGATTAGCAAGTCAAAATTACGTGGGGAATTAAAAGAAAAAATCTAAATAGATCCTGAACTGAAAAATAGTGAAAAAGCAGCCAGAATATAATAATAAAAAATAAAATTTAAAAGACTTCATAAAGTTTGGAGAATGTTTGGCTCTACAGAAGCACAATATAAAGAAAAAATTTAAGATGATTTAAGACTTTTCCACTATTTTGTGTTGAATGTTTTCTGTCTTTCTGCAAGTCACAGCAAAGCATCCATAGCCGACTAAGATGCAGTGTTTAAAATGATGCACTACACTGAACAATGTTCTGATTTTATGGCAACATAAAGCACGCAGGAGGGAAGATACTGGATTTTATACTTGGGTTAAACATTTGCAGGACATTTACTTGATGCGTGAGGCAAGTCGCACATGTAAAAATGAACCAATCACTCCCACACTAAACCCACTGACAGCTACCTTTTCCACCTATCTTGTAAATATCAATCTCACTTTATTTAGCTATACACATAGATTCTTAATATATGTATTTATATATATATATTTATATACTGTCAAATATGTTAGCAGAAATACACAAACACAAAAACCAGGCCAAAGATGAGAGGTTGAGAAGTGTGAAAGGTCAGTAAAACACAGATCTACACAGCAACAATTCACTATATGGACACGCAGTACGCACCAGGAGCTGCAGTACTCTAACATGCTCTCTCCATTTAATCACCTGCCTCGCACAGCCCAGGTGTCCCACACTCGAATCCTGAAAACGTTTGTCACGATTTGTCTCGAGTCGACAGGTTTTCAGTTTTAGATCAGTGGCTGACATGGAGGGCAGACATCAGGAAAGACATTAAAAAGGGATAGTTCGCTCAAAGACGATCTAAATTTGAGTCGAGTCATTATTTCACACCATCTGCCGTCCTCCCGCTGCTGAAACCCATTAGCTACCGAACTGGATGGACTGCAAAGGGAAAACATCCCATATGTTCACAGGAGAGGGTTAAAGACGTGATGAAAGCAAAGCAGAGCAGATGGCGTTATGCTCTCAACTCAAACTGTAATCAAACCAGCGTAAAGTATCCCTCTAAGAGTAGTGCCACGCCCCCACAACCTCTCAATACTCACCCAAAATATAGATATATGTATATATTTCATATGTATTTATTTCTTTTTGTACTGTATTAGTGCAGAAGTTTTAGTGCCAACGTCACATGATGAGGGAGGTGTAGCCAATAGGTACCAGCCCCTCCTTTTCCCCCTGACGACAACGAATCCAGTCGTGATCAACGCCTCCCAACACCACCAGCTCCTCCCCCTTGCAGAAGCTGAGCTCCGCACCCGTCCCCGTGTGGTCGCACAGCGTCCGAACGAACCTGAGGCAGAGAATCGGCGTCAGCGTGAGACCCCGACAAAATGAGTCACAAAGTAGTTAGTTTGTTGTGATTCTAATCTTATACAGCTGGGGGGACTAAAATAAAAAACATGGAGCCAAGGGGGGCCAAAGGAGTTCTACCCTTCATATCTGAGTGGTGCCTCCCCCTGGCTCCCCACTTTGTGGCGCCCCTGTTTATAAAACAAATTTTCTGCTATTTTAGCTACTGGGATCTTTAAGGACTCATTTTTACCCTAATATATATTTTGCACTGCAGCCTGTGCTCAGTCTGACTCATTTTGCCAGGAGGGGTGACAGATGATATAAGACTGATGAGTCAGCAGTTAAAAGACAGAAACAATGATAACAGGAGCTATTCTGGTTTCTCTCACACCCACTGCTGCTCTGTGAGAGACAACGCAGGTATCAAACGAAAGAAAAAGGACAATTTCTTTATTTAAAACGTTTCACGACAAAATCTGTTCTAAAGTAAAGCTTACGATCTAAATCCGACAAAATATGATAATCCTCTAAATCTTCTAAACATTAACCAAAAACACCTATCTATAAAATGTTTTGTTGTTTAGTATATATTATAATATTTCTATTTAACAAAAACATTAACCTGATATAATAGCACCACCTTCTGTTTGGATAAGTAAAATCAGAAAGATCTGACTAAATAAAGTATTAATTAGCAGAATGTTTGGGTCAGTTTAAGTCATTATTAAAGCTTGTAAAAAGTGGTAAAATGTATTGTCAGTGGTTGTTATAGTATCTGGGAAACATCTCGTTTAACTTTGTTGTACCTGAGTGGTTTGGGTTTGTCCTTCGCCTCATCTGTGTTGGTGTGTTTTCCTGGTTCAGGTGGGCCTCCTCCCCGGGGCTCAGGAGTTCTGCGTAGGATGGGAGCTGAGCTGCTGCTCACCATCTGGGTCAGAGCTGTGACTCCAGGAGCCAACCACTGAGACGGACGCCTGAGGAGGAGAAAAATCACAAACCGCCTGCTGTGAGCTGTGATAAAAACTACAAGGATCCTCGTCTAACGGTGCTTCAGTTTCACATCAACATTATTTCATTTGAGTTTAAAAAACGAGCGGAAAATCTCTGAAAACATGTGGGTAACTGACATATGAGGACTGCTTAGGTGTGATCTCTATCCAGTTTGAGGGTTAGTTTTGGACAATATCTGATGATCGACTCTTTTAACTGAAACCAGAGAGCGTTGACAGAGAGGAGAAGGTAGAAATGACTCAGCCTAGAACTGAAAATATGGATGGAGGACAACAGAGCTGCTTCATGGAAGAAGAACCTCAGCTTAGCCTGCTGGCTTTAGTGTTAGCCACGATGCTATCAGCATATATATGCATTAGCTCAACGCTACACATTCTCCTCTCATCACTGAGGTCCTCCATCTACATGACAGGGA